AGCACATTCGCCAATGTGACTGAATCAACAGTTAGTACAATGGAACAATGGTTTATTACGGGTAAAAAAGCAATGCTTAACAAGTCCCGTGGGATGGAAATTATTGCGAAAATAAAATTGTACGATACATTGAAAAGCGTTTTGTTGGACTTATGTAGAAAAGCGATGTTGGCGTGTTACAAGTATAAATTCGTAAATCTTTTGGTTGGGAGTTTGGTAAGACAACGTTTGATTGCGTTTTGTAGCCGCTGGCTAACAAGTTATGAAATGAAATGCAAATGAGACAACGCATCGTCAACTGGTTTTTGGAATATCGCCAGATTTGGAGCAGAGACAACACAATTAAGGAAGGCATTCCAAAGTTGACACATGCGGAGGGAAAAGAAAGTTCTACGGCATCCAAGCTGATTATACTGTATTGGCGGTCTCAGAGAATGACCTCTTAGGTTAGTGTTGTGGTTCAGTTCCAGCAGCGGACGGCAAATGTGGTTTGCGTTCTTCGGAATCTGGTAAAGCATTATGAGATCCCCCGCAAAAGCCGATATCGACTGCTGCACATTCTTAGAGAGTTCAGTCTAAGCTGATAGGGTAGACGAAAGAGGTCCCTGATGTTCTTGGTTGCCCTACCTTGAGGAGTTTCGAGAGCAATGAGATTCTGTTTCTGTCACTGCTACCACGCCAGCCACGTCTGGATATTATGTTCCACCTGCGGTCACACGTAGGCGTTAAGCATTTGGGAAAGATTGAGCGTGCAAACCGACCAAACGCTCTGCGAAGCAGGCTGAAGTGTTGATTACCGGTTCGCGTCGCCTTCTCTGCTTGTTATGAACACCCGAGGTCTTCCTATACGAATACACCTAGATCACGCTTCTGAGAGGCCTTCTGCAAGGTGTGCTCTCCAAGCTTCTAAGCGCTCACCGGCTGGTGACGCAGATGAATCACCTTGCACTTAGCTATCTTCAACTGAAGTAGGTTCCTATTTGACCATTCATAAATGCAATCTAGGTCTTGTTGGAGTAGATCGTGATCTTCATTGTTACTAATCACCCGCCATGTCATGATGTCATCGGCGAAGCAGGAAATTTGCGAAGTTAACTCTTGTCATGGCGCTGATAAACACTAGGAACAAGCGCGATCCCAGCACTGAGCCCTGTGGGACACCTCAATCCACCTCAATCGGGTAAGAGAGTGAGCCCCTAACCTGTACTTGAAGCTTCCGTTGGTGAAGAAAGTTGCCAATTCAACCAAGAACAGTATCTCCGATTCCGTAGCTCTGTAGCCGGCGAAGTAAGATGCGGTGATCCAGGCGGTCGAAAGCTTTGGAGAAGTCCAGATAGATGAGGTCAACTCCGACCCCATCATCAGCCAATTCCGTCCAACTACCTCGTGCAATCAGTAGGTTGGTGGTGCATGAGCGGTAACAATGTAAAAAATAGCGAGGTTCCTATGCCGACTAAGTGGATGGAGCTCATTGTAAACCATTTGGCGATTAAGATGTTATCAAGAATTCGAACTAGATATTTTATGGCTAGTTGTTGTGGCACCGTACAAAGTTGCGTTTCAAAGATAAAGTAAAGGCCTGTCAGAACCCCGTCGTTAGAATGCAAACTGCATGGAACGAATTACACCAAGGTCCCTTGAAGTGAAACAAGATATGGGAGCAGTTAGCTTGCAAATCATAGTGGTCCATAGCTCAATGGCATAAGATGCTGTTTGGCGGTTAAAGCGGCCGGTGGTCATGTGTTCGAGTACTGACGGATCCGGCGGATGCTCACTACTGACGAGAACAAACGGGTCGAAACTGAAGTTAAGGGTCTTTTCGGGGATGTGAACAACATTCTAATTTAGAAGCCACAGCGGTGAAATCTCAAATAATTACATCAACAAAGCTGCAACTCATACGTACAACAAACTGTTCGTCCTAATGTAGTCAAAATGTTGCCAACATATCATTCGAGTGTTTTGAATGTCAGTGTTTAACCTTGGCTCCCTATGGGGGAGATAACTGGTAGCGAGAAAAGTGTCTGAAAAATTGGCCTATTGTTAGACATGCTTGGGCAGTTCCATTCAACTATAACCTCTAGAATGCTAGGTCGGCTATTTCTAACATATGTTTGGCGGCATCTGTGTCCGGATTTAACTATCACTGCGCTTTCCATAGGACAGCCACAGGACGCCTGCGCCTACAGAGGGACCATAGGTGGTCTGCACTGCCCCATCCACTGTTCCATCCACACAACCCATACCCAGTGTAAACCAGAAGGAATAAGACTGGGAGGCATGTGGATGGGAGCCACATTTCATCAACGGAGCTAGTCCACACTCCTTCAACAAACAGAGCGGAAGCATTCATGCGTAAATGGAGAATCATGCGTGCCAGACGTACACAAGGCGGTGGTTGGACTGTAGCCCGTTTCACACTGGATATATGGAAACATTCTTTGAGCCCTTCTTTGAGCACCTTCACGAGGACCGTGCCCTCCAAGCAACGGCTAACCGTCTACTGGAGCTAGTATAATCGAGGTGGAGAGCGTTAGACAGGTAGGCATTTTGTTAGCATATACATCAAGCGCAGTCACACCGGGGATACCGCACAACCAACACCGAATTTGAAGGCAAGTGCGCACACAAAATTGACACAGAATATGCACTAAAATAACAGCACCGAGCAAATCATATAAAGTGAAACACACTCCATCCAGGTTAGGATGATCTAGTGTAAGTCGGTGTAGCATAACTGCGTTGAAGAAGTATGATGTATGCTATCTCAACCTCAATATGCAGAACATTTTTAACATATGCAGCTTCAATCTACATGATGCTTCCTCCGCAGAGGATAAGCAGAATCAAATGTGTTGCCTATACCACCATCCATAGCACAAGAGACTGTTTCCTTTCCCATGCCAGATTGCAAGTGACTCAAATCCAAACTGCCACCATGTGCTGAAACGAGACGTAGTACAAGATCGATGAGTTGGTACACGAATGTTTGGTGTAATGGGCTCCTTTTGACTGTGACTGCTGTGCTTTTTCAGTTGTACTTGCAACCAGTCCACAACTGATGGCGTCCAAAGCGAGATTCGGTTTGGCACTCGTTCAACTGTGTATTCAAGTGCAAAGCACACCATGAAACATCCTGTGAAACGAAGCTCCCCTACACCGCTGTCAGTGGCACGATCCAGGACGGTTGAAAGGAACTTTCGCGTGTTCGGAGTAAAACTGTCCGACCGATAGGTTTTTGTCCGATATTGCACGTTTAGCGATAAATACTTGAGTAACTCTTCCACCTTCAACAGTAGCATATCATGGGACTGAGAAAACACTCGCATCTGTGCCCAGAGGAAGTCCCCCTACCCCGTCCATAACCCCAGAGTCAATATGATCGTTTGACGGAGGATACAATGCGATTAATGGCTGGCGACCTATCTAACCATAACTGGCTGCATTACCGTTTGCAATTTTTTGATGTAGACGGCTGACAGGGGGTTATTTGGTCGTCAGTAGAATATGTCGATCAACAAAGACGACTGGCAAGCGGGTAAAAATTCAAAGTTTGAAATGTCGGGGAATCACGGATGAATTAAACTATGTGCAATGATGTTGTCGCATAAAATTGCATAGCAAAACATGCCTTGCTTTTAAGTGTATGGTGGTCACTCAGCCTACCTAGGTGAAGCTGGCCGCAGAGAGAAGTGTTGAATGCGCGTAGAACCAAAATGTCCATAGTCTCAGAACATCTCTGATGAAAGATGACGGCGGTTTACTTCCAAACAAACAACGGGCCAACCCAAAGTTCCTGCTCGGATTCGGTAACACCAAGGCACTTGCACCATTGGTATTTGACGCATTCCTGATAGCTTATATTTTTTATGACTCAGTACATGGGTCCCAGTTTTCTAGATCATCTCATAGCTCAAAGTGCAACTAGGTCAGGCTTGTGATAACCCTCTAATGCTCCATAATTCATCATTATCAACTGGCACCTGTCACATCCGACTGGCCTGGATGATAGAAGCGCAAGTGGCTCAGGCAAGGAGGGAGAAAATCAGAGGGCGTAATAGTACTCAGGTCTGTTCTTACTTTGAAATGGTGTGCACAGGTGACTACATACTCAAATACATTAATTAGTGAGAAAACCTGCTAAAGCAGTTGACATGGTATTGATCCAGCCGAAGTCCATGTTTTTGATCCCCGGTTGTATAGATTTTTGGAAATATTCTATCGGTAAGGACTGAAGGTCAACAACAGGCCTGGACTCCACAAACCACGTTCTTTTCCGTCTAACACTTGTTCGTTTTGTGTATAACCTATGCTTATTAGCCAAAACCAGAACTCTCAAGAAATCCTGGGTTTTACTTATGCTATCAGTTAGTTATCTGCATTACCAGCTGTTTTGATGTGCTCAAAGAATGCGCACGCGAGAAGTTAGCTCAATGTCATCGTCCCACTCACGTAAGAAGCTAAGCTGTATAAAGAACCCAGTCACATAACAGGCATTGCTTTCTACGGTCGTAAGGTTGCAGTGACATTCTACAGATGTGATACAGTCCAGCAGCATCGTCCCTAGTATACTGAGGATGCAAGTTGCGGCAGGCATCTGACCGCATCCAAAGCTCACCATACTCGTCATTTGAGTACTTCAAGGATGGCAGGGTCTAGCCAAATGGAATCGATCGCCTCACCAACTCACTAATTTCATGAAGGTAGTGGAAATTCTGATTAAAATAATTTTTCAATAAGATACTAACGTGCGGTGGAACAGTGGTCCTTCGGATGTGCATCAGACTAATACATTGCTGCCGGTCCACTCATACTTCGGGATTCTGAGAAGGGGATCTGCGTACCACTGAGTGGAATATATACTTGCCATTCATCCTACTGATATAGTATAGCGCTTACCGAAAGGCCAGTAATGCATGCTTCATTCTGAGATACTGGAAATTTCGACACCAAATATGCAACCAGAAAAACATACCGACCGAAATGCTGAATCAACTGACCTTGTAATCAATAATATCCTGCAGTATCTTGTCCAGTCTGTTGATTGGTTCTATTAGATGTGCGGTGAATTGTATTACTGGGGTTTTGCTCTGTTGATCTCTCGACACATGCTCATCTGTGGACGAAGTCGACTGCAACGTATGGCTCGAGGGAGAATATGGAAAGAAGTGGAGATCCTCTTTCGGACTGCGACTGCCGCCGATTCGAGCCAACGGTGAAGGCACTGCTATGTGGGACATGCTGGTTGCCAATCTAGAAGTTAGGGTTTCAGAAAAGGTGTATAAACAAACGATATGTACGGTAACATCTGGGCAAATGGGACAGTTGAACGTAGCAAACTTTTCACGGGATGCTTGCGCATGTGCTTTAGCAAAGTTAGGAGAGAAAAGTTTGGGCGTAACAGAGTGGTGACCGAACCTGTGACATCTTAATCCACCATTCACGTCTGCAATGATAATTCAACTGCACAAATGTCCTTGATACCTTACCGTTAACATTTAGCCTTCCTGTGAATCGTCGACTGCATTCCCTCCACCTTTCGGCGTTGTCAAATGATGCTCATAAGATCGGCTTTTCGGTATCAGCATTTGTTAACGCGCGTAGATTTATAATGTTATTCCGTGGTACAATTAATTGGTGGCCTCGGATAAGCATACCAGAAGCTCCCTGACCGAGATGTAAGCTATCGGGCGGGTCCCCATGTTACTGTTTTTGGAGCGCCTTCCTTGTGCGGGTAACTGCCAATAAGTCCCGTTTGCTTTGCTGCCGAGATGAATAAGCAGTCGCTGACAATCTGCGGCAGGGTCTCAGAGCGTGGGGAGCTCGGGGCTTGACACCTGTTTCTCCATCAACTACCACAAGAACTCATATAGCGCTGTGTCAAAGCCAGTGCAACGGGCCATATGTTCACCGACCACTCACTTCTGTAACCATAGTTGAGTACATAACAGAGGGCGCATGAAAAAACTTGCTGTTTGCTATCAAACATTAAGAAGCCAAGTGAGCTATCTGGCTGTCGACAGCCTTCCTATTCACGGCTGGTTTGACGCTCCAGTGACAAGCGTAACTCGCCCCCCTGCCTTGCCGTTCAGGTCTTTAAGACCAAAATCTCCGGATGTGGTCCCTTAAGCCAACCCTCTTTCTCGGCCTGCGCAACAGGGAATCTCACTGCTCACGCAGTGCGTGAACCTACGCAACCTTACCGTTGACTGACTCTTCTCCCCCTGTTTGCTTTTACCCTAGTTGTAATATTCTACAAAGTAGAAGCATAATACTTGCTAAGAGAACTTATATCGGTAGTTCACTACTGGCAAAGCGCTTGTTGGTCACACTGACGCCACTGCAACCAGAATACTTGAGCCGGAGTTGTGCAAGTAGAGAACACTGACATAATCTAATATGCTGTCGTGGTCGTCATATCGGATCGCGGTTACGGATGAAAGTGACCTACCAGCCCACGCGACAGTGCATTGGCGACTGTGCATTTTCGCCCGTGTTTCCGCGCATCATGAAATCGGGATGCATCGAGTGAGTTATTGATAGACAGGATTGCATCATAGAATCGCATCCCCAGCGTTAGCGAACCCTACACGTTTAGCTTAGTCATGCACTTGTATTTGCCTGAATTGAATGGCCAAAAAGAGTTCTCTTCGCAATTGTTAAGCTCTTAATAGCTGAATGGCAGTATCGGATGCGCTATATATATATATATATATATATATATATATATATATATATATATATATATATATATATATATATATATATTTGAAAAATCCCATTGATAGATAAAGAATCTGTGTAATTCAACATAGGTTTTCGGTAATTGATCATCAAGCTTTTACGATTAAATGAAAACCAAAATTTGTCTACACTCCCGTTGGTCGTCAGTCAGCCAAATTTATTCCACTGCGCGATGGCAAACCGTCGGTCGTGTTCCAGCTGTAGTCACATGCTCGCACGGGTCAACGACAATCCGTCTTGGCCAAAGTAGACTCAACGTGTGAGTGAAAGTTTTCTGCGTGCACAGCCCTGGTTCGTACAATCCAATGGCGATGGCTTCTGCGGCGTCTAATATCCGCTTACGGAAATACTTTGAAGGATTTTCTGGGGCTTGATAGATTACTTTGAACGAATCAGCCGACTTGGTGGCGTGACCCGTATCCGCAAGATGCGCGGCGATGACAAATTTAGTGGCTTTTCAGCCCCCATTTTCGAACCAGGCTGGATGGTGTTCCCTCTCCCTTTCGGATAAACACCTTGTCATACGATCACCGTAACCTGCTCCATAGGAACAGGTGAACGAGTAAACACACATAGATTTAGTGTGGACAGTCAGCTTATACTTGAGGTTTAGTCTCACTATTACGCTGCTGGTGAACCAAATTTGCATCCTCGCCGATGGGAATGCATTCCTGAGTGTGTAAGAGAGACGGAGGGATAGATTTTACTGCGACTATTTCCCTTTTGCAAGGCAGTTGCAGGAGAATAGGTTTCCGTTCCACCGTCAGGACTGTAGGCACCTCCCCCTTTCGCCCTATATTGGCATTAGTAAATGTCTCTGGGTGGCCATTCTCGTTAAGCATCGATCGTACACGCTGTAACCCTTCGAAAAGAGTATCGTTCGAGCAGGTTTCTCGGCCCGCCTCACTAGACTGAGGACTAACTTTCTGTTAATTCGAAGCTGCAAGAAGCTATGAAAGTTCGTGCACTGTCCACTCCAAGTGCACTTTCGGTAAACCTAACGTTGTAATGCACCACCACCAAGTCTTTTTAAATCTACATCAAGAAAATGAAAAGCGCCGTTTTCTTTACCTCGTAGGTGAATTGTATAGCCTTGTGAGCCTGGTTAAATACGATGGTGATCTCCTCGACGTTACTAGAGGCGTCAAGTAGGATGAAGATGTCATCTACGTAACGGTGGTATAACGTAAGGCTGCTGATGACCGCTTTCAACCTATCCCGTTCCGATATGCCCATGAAAATCTGTGTGTATTTACTCGCAACCCGGTGTGCGACAACTCAAGCGAAGGATGCGATGGCGAACACAACGAAATAAGAGATTTCAACTGCCAGCGATCAGCGGCGTTGAAACATGACATTTCACGCACCTGAGTCAACTGATATGAATGCTCTGGCTCATTATGATTCCGAGGTCGAATTTCTACAGAACCTGATAGATAGACTGCTATACGTTGGTGAACAGGGGTTGTGGGTGAGCATATTACCCGTCTTGGGAAAAGTGAGAAGTGTAAGATTCGGCCTCTACGAGTCAGTTTTGCTGATGAAGCGAGTCCGAATGAGGTACTATCCCGCCTCCGTAGGCTAAAAGGGTTGAAGATCCATATTCGTCCCGATTTGGATCCGTCGGACAGAGAAAATGAAGTCCGCTTTCGTGGACTTGAAGCGGCTTACCGATAGCGGAGAAAGTAACCTCCGCATTGTAAATTTTCGGGTAGTTCCTCGGGTCTGCCGAATCCGGATCAACAGGTCGATGACGCTTCATGCGCGCCCGGCGGTTCCAACCGCGGCCTGCGCGTAGCCTTCACAAATGTTTGCAGTTTCACGCACAAACGTGACGATCTATATCACTTCGTTGCCTCTAGTCGTCCAGACATACTGAGGCTGGCCTAAACCTGGTTAAATCCTGAGGTCACAACCAGGAAGTCCAGATCAGTGGCTACTGGTACTTCTGGTGCGACAGCTTGTCAAACGAGAGCGGTGGCGTGCTGTTATTCATTCAGTCTTCGATATGCGATAGACTGGTAAGCACATACCGAAACGAAGATGGCCTGTGCGAGCAACTATGGTGCTCGATCCGTCTGAGACAGAGTGAATTGTTTGTGGGTGCAGCTTATCGCAGCCCGCGAAGTGGATGTCTGGATTGGGTGTCGCATGTAAGAAACTACGTGAGTCGGCCCCGTTTCCTGCTTACAGGCGATTATAATTTCCCTCCAATACAGTGACCTGAGGCCCAAGTTCTTCCCAGGCACTGTGAAATCGAGGTGCAATTTGCGGAGATGTTATTTGAAAGTGGGGCAGCACAACACGTCTGCCGACCGACGCGCGTTACACCGCATATCGCTCCATCGCGCTTGGACCTACTATTAACTATTTGCGAGAAACGTGCATATTAAATTCAGGTCCTGGAGCGTCTGGCAACGTGCGATCGCTCGATGGACTTAGTTAGACTAGAGCTAACGTTGCCCTACTCGCATCCGCTGGAGTCATCTTAGAATTATTCGAAAACGAACTTCGAAGATCTCAATCGAGCCGCTAATAAAGTGGACTGGTCGCTACCGCAGGATTCACCTACTGAAGCTTGTTGGTTTTTTATAAACTAGGGTGTCCAATCGTTCGCATCCCTCAAATATAGGAGAGCTGGACGAGTGAAGCCACATTGGTTCGACAGAGAATATGGTCAATTGGCTCGTCGGCAACGCCTATCGTGGAATAATTTCCTCGTGTCTTGCTCTGCCGACGATTTGAGGCGTACAAAAAGCAGCGAATCCAGTGCAACGGCGCAAAAGCGTCGGAAGTTCGAAGAGCAGCTAGCTACCTCAGCGAAGACAGCATCCAAGAATATTTTTACTTATGTGAAGTGGCATGTGAGCAACCGACTTAGATTATGCCGATGATATCGCCTTACTTGGTGAGGATTCACAGAGCATGCAAACCATTCTAGATAGTTTGGCCATTGACGCATCTAGGTACGGAATGTGCTTTGCTCCGTCAAGGTATAAAATGCTGCTTCAGGATTGGCACTTAACTGTTCCCCTGCTCAATATTGAAGGTACACAGCTTGAACAAGTGGATGGCTTTGTCTAACTTGGCAACTGTGTGTCTGCTGTGGTATCATTAGAAGACAAATTTCTCTTCGCAGCGCCATAGCTCTCTCGGCGTTTGTCAGCCTGCAACACTTGTGGCGTCGCCGGTATATCTCCCTCAAAGTAAAGGGTCGTGTTTATAGTGCCACTGTTTGGGCGGTGTTGCTATATGGAAACGACTCATGGCCAAATCGCGTAGACGACATGCGCCGACTCTCGGCTTTCGACAACGGGTGCTTGAGGAGGATTGCTCGTGTGTGGTGGCAACAACATATCTACAACACTGAAGTCAAACATCGCGTGTTAGGGAATGCGAGTATTCCCTTCAACAAGCTGGTTTGGCTGCGCCAGTTAAGATGGCTCGGTCATGTCCTGCGTATGTCAGCTGAGCGTCTGCTTCATCGCGCTCTCTTTGCTCGTGCAGGA